TGGCGTCATAGGGAGCCCCGCCTAAGGCCCAAGTGGCACGGTCCGCATGCAGTTCCACCTCCATTTCGGCACACCCCTCACACGTTTCGTGGCCCCATAGAGAGCTCCGCCTAAGGCCCAAGTGGCAGGGTCCGCATGCAGTTCCACCTCCATTTCGGCGCACCCCTCACACGTTTCGCGGCCCCATAGGGAGCTCCACCGAGGGCGCCAATGGCAGGGTCCGCATGCAGTTCCACCTCCATTTCGGCGCACCCCTCACACGTTTCGCGGCCCCACAGGGTGCTCCACCGAAGGCCCCAGTGGCAGGGTCCGCATGCAGTTCCACCTCCATTTGGCGCACCTCTCACACGCTTCGTGGCCCCATCGGGTGTTCCACCAACGACGATACTTACAACGGCGGCATTCGGAATTGCGTATGGTTGGGCCCTTCGCCAGGATAATTTCGGCCTTCCGACGGCCCGAGACGGCCCAAGAGCCCCCAAAGATCGCCGAAAGATCGCCCAAGAGGCCTCCAAGACGGCGACGATGACCATCAAGACGCCCACGTGTTCCCCGAAGGCTTTCCAAACCGATTCGGGGAACACATGGTCCGATGGCTTGGCAGGTCTGGCCTCAACGTTCGGCCACATAGGCGCTTCCACAAAGGCAGGGGGCGGCGGTGATTCGCCGTAGGCGTCTTCGATCCGCCGCCCCCTGCTTGCAGGGGTGCACGGCGTGCTGGATGATTCAGGTTTTGGTTTTGGTTCTTTTTCCAAAAGAACTCCCCAATGGGCTCCGGCAGAACCCGCCGGCCACCCGGAATTTCCCCAAACGTGCTCAACGAAAAAATCCTCCAAAAACGGCCGTTTCGCTCGGGACATCCTCAACAAATCGCGAAGATGGCCCAAGATGGCCTCCAAGTCCGCCCGAGATGGTCCAAGACGGCCTCCAAAACGGCCCAAGAGAGTCCAAGACGGCCCAAGACGGCCCAAGAGGCCCCCCAGAGGCCTCCCAGACGGCCCAAGAGGCCTCCAAGAGGTCCTCCAGGAGAGTCCGAAGAGGCCAAAATCATTGATTTTCCTTGGTTTTTGAAGGATTTTGGCATTTGCGCCTTTTCGGCTCTCCGACGGCTCAAGACGGCCCAAGAAGCCCCCAAGATCGCCCAAGAGGCCCCCAAGAGAGCCCCCTGATGGCCCAAGTGGCCTCCAAGATGGCCCCTAGAGGGCCCCAAGACGGCCCAAGAGGCCTCCAACACGCCCAAGATGGCCTCCAAGACGCCCAAGATGGCCTCCAAGACGGCCCTGGAGCGCCCCAAGAGGGTCCCCCGTTGGCCCAGAAAGGCCCCCAAAACGGCTCCCGACGGCGTCAGACGTGCCAGGAACCCACCAAGATGGCCGAAGTTGGCTCGAAGCTGGCCCAAAAGGGCCCAAGAGGCCCCCAAGAGGGCCTCCAGGAAGGCCAAAAGATGCCAAAATCACTGATTTTCCCAAGGTTTTTGATGGATTTGGGCATTTCCCTTTTTTCGGCCTTCCGACGGCCCGAGACGGCCCAAGAGCCCCCAAAGATCGCCGAAAGATCGCCCAAGAGGCCTCCAAGACGGCGACGATGACCATCAAGACGCCCACGTGTTCCCCGAAGGCTTTCCAAACCGATTCGGGGAACACATGGTCCGATGGCTTGGCAGGTCTGGCCTCAACGTTCGGCCACATAGGCGCTTCCACAAAGGCAGGGGGCGGCGGTGATTCGCCGTAGGCGTCTTCGATCCGCCGCCTCCTGTGGTCTTGCCACAGGGGTGCCTGGCGTGCTAGACGCTACCGTTTTTGGTTTTCGTTCGCTGTCCAAAACAACTCTCCCTTGGGGCTCCGGCCCAGCCCGCCTGTCACCCGGAAGGGACCGCAAACTGCGCATGCCAATGCTTTTCACACCCAAGATGGCCCCAAATGGACTCCAAGATGCCTCCAACACGGCCAAGATGGACCAAGATGGCCTCCAAGTCCGCATAAGATGGTCCACGATGGCCTCCAAGATGGCCCAAGAGAGTCCAAGATGCCTCCAAGTCCGCCCACGCATTCTCCAAGACGGCCCCAAAGGCCTCCCAAGAGGGCTCCAAGACGGCCCAAGAGGCTCTCTACGATGGCCCGAAAGGGTGGAAATCATTGCTTTGTCCTCAGTCTATATATATATACATATATATATATATATATATATAGATAACAAAAAAAGATGTTAGCATTTGCTTCTGTTCGGCCTTCCGACTGCCCGAGACGACCCAAGAGACCCCAAAGATCGCCCCAAGATCGTACAAGAGGCCTCCAAGATGGCTTCAGAACGGCCCTAGAGGCCCCCAGGGCCGCCCCAGGAGGGCCACAAGACGGCCCAAGATGCCTCCAAGACGCCCAAGATGGCCTCCAAGACTGCCCTGGAGCATCCCAAGAGGGCCCCCAGCCGACCCAGAGAGGCCCCCAAGACAGCTTCCGACGGCCTCTGAAGGGCCAGGAGCCCACCAAGACGGCTCTAAGATGGCCCAGGACGGCCCAAGATGCCTGCAAGACGGCCCAAGAGGCCTCCAAGAGGGCCTCCAGGAAGGCCCGAAGACGCCACAATCATTGATTGTCCTTAGGTGATTAAATAATTGTTTCGTTTGCTTTTTCTCAGCCTTCCGACAGCCCGAGACGGCCAATAATCCCCAAAGATCGCCCCAATATCGCCCAAACGGCCTCCAAGATGGTCCCAGTACGGCCCAAGACCGCCCCAGGAGGGCGACACGGACGGCCCAAGACGCCTCCAATACGCCCAAGATGGCATCGAAGACGGCCCTGGAGCACCCCAAGAGGGCCGCCAGTCGGCCCAGAGAGGCCCCCAAGACAGCTCCCGACGGCGTCAGACGGGCCAGGAGCTCACCAAAATGGCCCAAGATGGCTCTAAGATGGCCCAAGACGGCTCAAGAGGCCCCCTATATGCCTCCAAGGCGGCACAAGAGGGCTCCAAGAGGGTCTCTAGGATGGCCCGAAGAGGTGGAAATTATTGATGTTCAGTAGGTGTTTGAAAGATTTGGGCATGTGCTTCGTTTCGGCCTTCCGACAGCCCGAGACGCCCCAAGAGCAGAGAAAGATCGCCCAAGAGGCCTCCAGGACGGCCCCAGAGGCCCTCAAGACGGCCCCAAGATAGCCCCCAGACGGCCCAAGAGAGCTCCAAGACGCCCAAGATGGCCTCCAAGACGGCCCTGGAGTACCCCAAAAGGGCTTCCAATCTGCCCAGAGAGGGCCCCAAGACGGCTTCAGACGGCGTCGGACGGGCCAGGAATGCCCTGAGACTGCCAAAGAGGCCGCCGAGAAGCCCCCAAAGGCCCCCAAGAGGCCCAAGGAGGCGCCCAAAATGCCCCCAAGAGACTCGCAGAAAGCTCCCAGGAGGCCCCAAGTGGGCCCCTAGAGGCTCCCGAGATGCCCCGTCCTCCTCCTCCTCATCCTCCTCCTCCTCTTCCTCCTCCTCCTTTCCTCCTCCCTCTGCTCCTCCTCCTCCTCCTCCTGATCTTCCCCGCCATCCTCCCCCAACTGTCTTCGAAGGGTTTTCACAACGGTTGGGGGAACACACGGTCCGATAACTCGGCAGAGCTCTTGCCACAACGCTCGGACACATGGGCGTTTTCAAACCTCTTGCTCCCCCACGCGTTGACCGAAGTCTCTCTAAACCGATTCGGGAAACACCTGCCCGATAGTTTGGCCAAGCTCTAGCCCAGCTGTCGGCCACATAGGCGCTTCTACAAGGGCAAGGGGCGGCGGTGATTCGCCGCAGGCGTCTTCGATAGCCGACAGACAAGATCCTCCCTGAGGAAGAAGTGCAGATTCACCCGGAAGATGCTAGACAGGGTAGACCCCAAACAGCGAGCAATCGCTCTGTGGAGGTGGTTGCTATGAGGTGCAAGCTAGGTTGTGAAAGCTATGAGGTGTAAGCGATAGACGGTGTGGACAATGGAGGTGAACAAATCTGCGGTTTAAAACATGGTGTGTAAGCCATGGTGTCAACATATGCGGCGTGGGCTGGACACGAAAGCCGCAAGGGTGCAAGCTGTGTGGCATCATCTGTGTCGTAAGAGCTGTGCGGTGCAAACTGCATGGCGGCAAGCCGTGCGGTGCACACAAGGTGATGTGCGCTCAGCGCACGGGGCGTCCACGAGAGCCCAGGAAACGGCACGGGGGGCAGCGTGGCGCGACCTTGGAGGGCCCACCCGGCGCAGGCGGCGTCCACGAGCGCCCCGCGAGGCGGCACGGGCGGTAGCGCCGCGCCACTTCGGCGGACTCACCCCAGCGCACGGGGGGCCCACGAGCGCCCACGAAGCGGCCACGCGGGAAACCCTCGGCAGACCCCGTGCGAGCAGTGAAGAGACACGGGCAAGAACTCCGAAATGCAAGCGCTGTTTGGGGATCATGGGGCCACGATTCGAAGCAGTTGCTGCAGCTTGCACGTGTTCTGTGCAGCCAGCGGTCGCAGAGGCGAGCATGTTTATCCGCACCAGTGGTAAGATGGAATGGAACACGACCTAAGCGAGCGTCGAGTCACAACTGGACAACTGGACCACCATCCAACATCGAGGGAAAAATGATAACGATAAATTTACAGAGCAGGCACATCATTACGATGTTGCGCCCGTGATTTTCCAGTAGAGCTGAGCGTGATACCTTGAACTAGCATCTGCACTTCTTGCATTACGGTTTTCTGATGTTGTTGTAGAATATCGATTACAGCGATTACGTCAATATTCCTTGCAGTGCCCTTAAGGCGCCCGATGCCAGCGACGAATTCCTCGATGCTGACCTCGTTCCCATCGCCCGCGATAAGAGTGAAGAGCATGTCAGGGTCGGAGCAACGGAGATCCATCGCCTCCAACCACGTGCGTATGGCGCGCTTTTCAAGCAAGTAGCCGAATTCATCCCGAGTCATCGTTCCGGACTTGTCCTTGTCGCCCATGCTGAACAAACGGCTGACGGTCTGCCTGTGGTGTTTCATCTGCCTGAGCCGGCTTCTCACCATGATGAACTCGTCATTCTGTGCCACCGAGAATGTTTCTTGGATAAATCCGCCGATCCGGCGTGTGAGTTTGTGAGAGCGTGGGCTTGAGCTCGCTCAAGCTTCGCTCTGGAGAGGGGGGGGGGGGCGAATTCCAACGGAATTCACTGAACGCACAAACTCTGGAGAGGGGGAAAGGGGGGGAACGCGTCGCTCTGGACGAATTCCAACGGAATTCACTGAACGCACAAGCTCTGGAGAGCGGGGGGGACGAATTCCAACGGAATTCACTGAACTCACAAGCCCACCCGCCTCCCACACATACCCACTTCCCTTTCTCCGAGAGGCATCTTCTTCTCTGACCCCTTCCCCCGACAGCCCCCCCCCCCACCCCTCCAAAAAATAGACCCCCCCCTTTCCAGGACAGACCCCTTCCCTATCCGACAGACCCCTTTACCCCTCTCCGAACAGATCCTCCCCCCCCCCTCTCCGACAGAGATTCCCTTCTCCGACAGACCCCTCCCTTCTCTCCAACCAACTCCCCCTTTCTCCGACAGACCCCCCCCCCTAGAACAGCAGCACAAGCAGCAGCAGCATCAGTCTCCTCCCCCTGCTTCTTGACAATGTTCTTTCCTCTCTCATGCATACCTCTCCCCCCCCTCCCCGACATACCCCCCCCTCCAAGACAGACGCTCCCTCCCCCGGCCCCCCCTCCCCACCCAAACCTATCCCGCTTCCACAAACCCGTCCCCCGTCCTCTCCGACTCCGACACACCCCTCCCTCCCCCCCCCCCCCCCCCCCTACACCGACGTCTCGCGCTTTTACACCCCCCTCTCCAGGACAGACCCCCCCCCTTCCGACATATCCCTTTCCGCTCTTCCGCTTTCTCTCCTACAGACCCCCCCCCAAGACAGACCCCCCCTTCCGACATATCCCTTTCCGCTCTTCCGCTTTCTCTCCTACCCCCCCCCCGCTCTCACAGACCCCCCCACTTCGACAGACCCCTCCAGCATCCAGGACAGACCTCACCTCTCCGAGCAAGCTCCTTCCTTTTTTCCGACAGAGCCTCTCTCCTGTCCTGACAGACCCTGGACTGACCCCTCTCCTCTGTCCTGTCCCGGACTGACCCCTCCCCCCAAACAAGAGCAGCACGAGCAGCATCAGCAACTTTACCAGCGCACTTCCACAGACGCGTCCCAGACGGCCCACGACGACTCGCAGACAGACCTTTCCTGTCTCACATCAGATCCCCCCCCCTCCCTCCCCGACCGATCTCTTCCCCCCCTCTTCGACAGACCCCCTGGCCTCCAAGACAGACCCCCCCCCTCCCCCGGCCATCCCGCACCAACCTCCGAGATGTTCCAAGAAAACCTTCGGTGCAAAATGCATCCGCAGATGCTCCAAGAGGCCCCGAGACCGCCCCAAGACGGCTCCAGACACCAAACAACTCCCCAAGGAACCTTCCAAGAAAACATCATCCTTCGAAAACCTACGGACAACTCATGACTTCTGCCCCTCGCCTTTTCTCTTCCGATGACCATCCGAGGCCTCAGGATGCCTCCAAAAGACCCCCAGAGGGACCCAAGAGCGCCCAAGGCCGCCCTAAGAGCGCCCCACCCCCTGTCACAGACACCCCCGCCGACTCCGACAGACCCCCCTTCCTCCAGGACAGACGTCACCTCTCCGAGAAATCGCCTTCCTTCTTTCCGACAGAGCCCCTCTCCTGTCCTGCACAGACCCTGCCCTCTCTCCGACACCCCCCCCCTCTCCATCCTTCTTTCCGACTGACCTCCCTCCCCTCCGACACCCCCCCCCTTCTACAGACCCCGCCCCAACAAGAGCAGTACAAGCAGCAGCAGCAGCAGCAGCAGCAGCAGCAGCAGCATCAGCAACAGCACCAACAGCAGAACGAGCAGCATCAGCAGCATTACTCGCGCACGGCCACAGACGCATCATCATCATCATCATCATCATCATCATCATCATCATCATCATCATCATCATCATCATCATCATCATCAGTATCAGTATCAGTATCAGTATCAGTATCATCATCATCACCATCATCAGCATCATCATCATCAACATCATCATCATGAGCATCATCAGCATCAGCATCATCATCATCAGCATTATCGCCATCGCCATCGTCATCGTCATCGTCATCGTCATCGTCATCATCAGCATCATCATCATCATCATCAGCATCAGCATCAGCATCAGCATCAGCATCATCATCATCATCATCATCATCATCAGCATCATCATCATCATCATCATCATCATCATCATCCCCCAGAGTGCCCGGGATCGGCGGCAACGGCCAGAGGCACATACAATACACCATTTATCACACCGACCACTGCAAAGCCGATGGAGAGCTTATAGCCTACGACGAAGTATCCGAATATCTCGTGCACTTCCTCCATGAGGAAACGGCAAATTTCGGGCCAGTTCGCTAGCATGAGTTCGAACATGGTCACCATCGATCGGGTGTACGTGCCGAAATATCGGAATTCGCCGGCCCTTTGGGATCACCGGCGTCTGAGACTTACCTCGCTGCTCCCTCTTAACAACCACCCCCTCCTCCAGTAGACTTGCTGCCAACCAGTGTCACTGAGGGCCCCCCAACCCCAGTCAAAACATTGTCCTGGCGAATCCTGGCAATTTCATGCACCTTTGATGCTTGAACTTCTTGTGGGGATGTGCCTTAGGACAACAGCCTTCTTCAGGAGTGTGCCAAAATGGGCGTGGGGGTGGGGGGGCGCGGGGATGCGCGGGCGCGCAGGTGAAGACCCTTGTGGGACACGAAATACGCGAGGAATGTGCCGAAACGGGCGGGGGACTAGGCGGACTCAGTCTCCGGGGCCGAAATTGGTGATCCATTCCGCCGTGGACGATGCTGGCCAAGTCTCTGGGCCCGCAGGTGGAGATCCCCAAAGCACGCTACTTCTGGGGGCAGGCAGACAGTGGCCTGGTCAAGTCACAAAGGTTGGCCCAGGAACAGGCGAGGTGACAGCCTGCATCTATGAACGAACAAACACTTTCGATTGGATCGGACATGTTCCCCTGCTTGATGACCTTCGGCGTCAAGGAGTCGACGCCGATTTCATTGCTCTGTTGGGGGGACTGTCTTCTGGACAAGAGGGCGCTGCGTCAGGGACGCAAGCGTTTCGTATCAAAAGAGGGTTAAGCGAGACGACGTCATCAACCCGATGCTGTTCAATGCTGGCTTGGACAAGGCAATGGCGAGGTGTGATATCCGCATCAGGCAAGCCGGTGCATTCGTAGGAGACGGCGGGACATTCAAGAATACTCGCGATGCAGATGAGGTAATGGTGTGTGTGAGAGAGAGAGAGAGAGAGAGACCAGCCAACGAGCTGGCCGTCATGCTGACAACACTCATGGAGCAACTCTCCCAAATCGAAATTCATCGAAGACATGAACAGACCAACATCCTGACGTCAGACAAGAATCCGGACGACAGACGAGGAAAGCGATCATCTGTTCACCATGAGCCGGAGAAACCATGTTGAACGTCACGGGGCGCATGAATGTCCACAAGCGTTTGGACAAGAGCGTGCAAGCGAATCTGAAAAACGCCACGCCGTCGAGTTGGGGCAGAGACTCTAGCGAGCGTGGTACATTTCTCATGAGCACCACCATGTTCTCACATACCAGAACGCATCATTACGATAGCGGGGAGCAGGCGGTTGAGGACGTGGGAGGCTGGGAACGAACGGGGGAAGAACGGGGTGCGGCGCGGAACCAGCGCGGCGCATGCTGAAATAAAACGATCGGGGCGGAGAAAACGCGCTGGCTCGTGGGCGAGGACTAGGTGGGGCGGCTGCGGGGAAGAGGAACACGGTGGGGGGCGCAGCGACGGGGCCGCGCGCGCCGAACAAACAATTGTCGGAGAGGAGGGGGCGCGCTGGCTGGCGGGAGAAACCGTGTTGTGGCGGCTGCGGGGAGGGGGCGCGATGGGTGGTGGGCGAAGATCAATTGAGGCGGGGGGGGGACGCAGTGCGGGTGCTGTGCGTGCCGACGTGAGTAGTCGGGACGGAGGGGCGCGCTGGCTGTCGGGCGAGGAAAAGCTGGGAGGGAGGAGAGGGGGTCCTGGCGCGGCGCTGGGGGGGAAAAGTGAGAGGCGGCGCCGGTGCCGTGCGTGCCTAAATCACATGGTCGAAGCGGAAAGGGCGCGCGCGGCTGCTGGGGGGGCAGGAGGGGGGAACGGCGCTGGTACTGCGAGCGACGAAATATAATGGTGGGGGCGATTCGATGGGGCGCACTGGCCGTTGGGTGAAAGGGGGGCTGGGGAGGGGCTGTTGGGGGTGGTGATCGAGGGGAGCACGGCACCGGTGCCGTGCGTACGGGCGGAAAGGGGCGCGCTGACTGGAGGCGGGTGAACAAGGTGCCGTGCGTACGGGCGCGCTGTTCTGTGGTGGGGAAAGGTTGCGCGGCGGCGCTGCCGCCCGTGCCGAAATAAAATGATCGGGGCGGGGGGGGCGTGCGACTGCTGAGGTGGGAAGAGGGGGGTGGCGCAGGCGCCGCGAGCGCCGAAACAAATTGTCGGCCGGGGGCGCGCGCTGGCGAATGAAAGACTGGGGGCTCGGGCGGCCGCTGAGGGGGATGAGGGGGGCGCGGCGCCGGTGCCGCACGTTCCGAAAAGGATGGTCGGCCGAGGGCGCGCGCTGGCGGCTGATAAGCGAGAAGTGGCTGAAGTGTCTGCTGGAGGGAAGGGGGGGCGTGGCGCCGGCGCAGTGTTTGCCGACATCAAAAAAAATCAGGGCGGAAGGGGCGCGCTGGCTGGAGGGCGAAGACGAACTGGGGTGCACAGCTGGGACCGAAATCGATATGTCGGAATGGAAGGGGCGCCCGCGGCTTCTGAGGTGGGGGGGGTGCGCGGCGACGGTGCTGGGCGTGCCGACATGAAATGGTCGGGGCGGGGGCGCGCAAGCTCTCAAGCGAGGAGGAGCTGAAGCGGCTGCTCGGGGGATGCAAGAAGGGGGCGAGGCGCTGGTGCCACACGTGCCACAGGAATACGTTCGTGGCGCAATGAGCGCGCGGGTTTCAATCCAAGACGAGCTTGACCGGCTGCTCGGGGGTAGTACGGGGTGCGAAGCGCCCGTGCTGTGCGTGCCAAAATGAAAACGGTTGGGGCCTATGGGGCGCGCGCGGCTGCTGGGGGGAGGGCGCGGCGCCGGCGCTTTGCGCGCCAAAATAAACGGCCGGGGCGGAGGGGGCGCGCTGGCTGGAGGGCGAGAAGGAGTTGGGGCGGCTGTTGGGGGGGGAGTGGCGGGTGGGCGGTGCTGGTGCTGTGCACGCCGGCAAAAAACGGTTGGCGAATGGGCGAGGAGATGCTGAGCTGGTTGCGAAAGGGTGCGGGGGAGGGGCTGCGCGGAGCCGGTGCCGCGCGTGCCAAGGGGGGCGCTGGATGGTGAGCGACGACGAGCGGGGTCGGCTGCTTGGGGGAGGTGGGGCTCGCGGCACCAGTGCCGTGCGCGCCGAGAGAGAGAACGGTCGGGGCGGACAGGGCGCGCTGGCTGCTGGAGTCGTGCTGGGGGGTGGGGGGTGGGTGCGGCGCCAGAGCCGTGCGCGCTTAAATGCAGTGGTCGGGGCGAAAAGGCGCGCTGGCGAGGTGGGCGACGAAAAACAGAAGGGGCGGGGCGGGGGGGGCGCGCGCGGCAGCAGGGGGGGAGGGGGGGGGGCTGGCGCCAATACCGCGCGTGTCAATATCCGCCGACCCCTTGGGGATCATCGGCGCGTGAGATTACTCCCCATCCCCAAACCCCTCCCCCGGGGGCCTTGGTCCGGTCGATTTGGAGGGGGGGGGGCCGGCCGGATTCCCCGGCGCGGCCCGGGGGGGGTCAACCGCTCCAGAGAGTCTGCTGGGGGGGCCGAAAACGAGCCAAGAGGCGCCCAAGAAGCTCCCAAGACGGTCCAATAGGGCTCCGAGACGCTCAAGATGGCCTCCAGACGGCCCAAGATGCCGCCAAGACGCTCCAAGAGGCTTCCAAGAGGCCTTCCAAGAGGGCTCCAAGAGGCCAAAATCGTTGATTTTCATTAGTTTGTTCGAAGATGTTGGCCTTCTAGCTTTTTGCGTTTCCGACGCTCCAAGACGGCGCAGGAGGCACCCAAGACGGCCCCAAAACGACCGAAGAGGCCCCCAAGTGGGCCCCAGGGCGGCTCAAGAGAGCGCCAGGACGGCCCAAGAGGGCCTCAAGACAGCCCAAGAGGGCCCCAAGAGGGGCCCAAGACAGGCTCCAGACAGAAACCGCGAAACTCAATTTCTACCTCTCCGGCCCAAAAGGCAACCGAGGCCCCAAGAGGCCCCCAAGAGGCCCGTAAGAGGCCCCCTAGAAGCCCAAAAGAGACCCCAAGAGGCCCCAAAACAGCTCCCCAGAATCCTCCAAACTGCCTCTCGTAGGCCTCCGAGAGGACTTTCACGATGGCGCCCTTCCGTCGGTGCCCTCGTCTTTCGCGTCGTGTTTGCCTGCTGTTTTTCACCCTCGTCTGTCGCCCCGTTTCCCCCCCCTCAGCTTTCTGTGTCATCTTCCCTCCACCGCCTCTCCTTCCACCCTCTCCGCCTTTTGCTCCTCCCCCCGTCCCCGCTCTTCCACGTCCCCCTGTCCATCCCGTCCCTGGTAGTCAGATGCCTCGCAACTTCCGTGCCTTGTCGCAGTGCCCGTCACTTGGGTCCGCCGGGCGTTTCGGAGGGTCTCTTCGAGGCGCTCGTCCCGCTTTGAAGCACTTCGCGCACACCACTGGGGTGTTTCGCTTGAAATAATTATTCTTCTGGTCTTTCGACAAATGGCCCCCGTCTGAAAACGCCGGTTTCTTCCCGTCTCCTCTCCGGGGGCACGCAGAGCATTCAAACTTTGTCGCCCCCGTGCGCGCATCGTGGCACGCACGGCACACGACAGGGCGATGCCCTTGGCCCGTGTCCCGATAATGGTTTATCTGGCTGTCGGACAAATGTCTCACGTCTGTAAAAGAAGGCGCCTGCCCATCCGCCCCCTTCGGGCATGCTCCACAACGGAAAACCTGGGCAGTCGACTTTTCGTAGCATGCGCGGCACATGACCGGGCGATGCCCTTGACCCGTCTCCACATAATGCCTTCTCTGGCTGTCGGACAAATGACTCACGTCTTCGAACGCGGGCGCCTTCCCATCCGCCCCCTTCGGGCATGCCCCACAACGAAAAACTTGGGCCTCCGACTTTTCGTAGCACGTCTGTAAACGCGGGCGCCTTCCCATCCGTCCCTGTCGGGCAAGCCCCAAGGGGTCGGCGGTGTGGCGCCAGCCCAAGAATAAACCGGCGGGAGCGGAGGGGCACGCTGGCTGGCGGGCGAAGGGGTGTGGGCGGTTGCCCTGCGGGGGGGAAACGGGGAACGGCGCGGGCGGGGTGCGTGCCGAAATCAAATGGTCGGGGCGGATTGGGCGCGCTGGCTGGTGGGCGACGAGGAGCTGGGGCTGGCTGCTGGCTGAGGAGGAGCTGCGGTGGCCGCGGTGGGGGGAAAGCGCACGCGGTGCAGGTGCCGTGCGCGCCGAAATAAATCCTCGGGGCTAAAGGAGGCGCGCTGGGTGGTGGGCGAAGAGGAGCTGGGGTTGGTTGCTGGCAGAAGGCGAACTGCGCTGGCGGGGGGGGGGGGGGGGTGCGCGATGCTGGTGCCGCGCGTGCTGAAATGGTCGGAACTCTAGACAACCTGTGCAAAACAATCATACTACAGGCGGGAGCAATTTTCTCCGAACGCCGCCCCATGGTCTAATGCCGCGTAACAGGCGAATCTGTGTGAGCGATGGCTAAACTATGTGGTACCATTGCCGAACACACTGCGCCTCGGATGTCCAAACCCACTGCCCCTGTTGCACTGTAACACAACAGTGCAGAATGTGGGCCACGATGTGCGTTCACTGCACTCCGTCCTGTTTCGCGTGTTTTCACCCACGACGTGTGTGAAATATCAGTTCACTGTCAGATTCAGTTCGACAGCACCCAATGTGTATTCTGAACGCCCTGGGGCCTGAACGTTCCGAATGTTTACGCCCACCGCGTGTGTGAATGAATGATTCTTTCACGTCCCTGCACCATGGGAAGTGGGCGAGATTGACCAAACGAGATTCACTCATTGAATGTCTGTGAATGAGGAAGTGGGCGTAGGTGAAAGCATTGCGAACGTGGAGGAGGGGTGAAGGGGGAGGGGGAGGGGGAGGAGGAGGAGGAGGAGGAGGAGGAGGAGGAAGAGGAATAGAATGAGAACGTGTAGTATGCAAACGGGGCACGCCCGCGGCCCAGACCGGGCAGCTTGCCGAGGTTCCTCCTGGTATGCGCGCTGTGTGCCAAGTCGAACCAGGGCCGTTGCAAAAGCGAGCCCAAACCAAGCGAAACTTAAGCGAAACCAGGCCAACTGCGAGGACGTCTCAGGAGAAACCAAGCCCAAACCAAGCCTAACAAAGGAAATTGAGAGGACGTCTCACGTGAACCAGGCCCAAGCCAGGCCAAACCAGTGGCCAAACCAAGCAAATTCGGAGTATGTCTCAGGCGGCTTGCGCCGCTCAACCAAGCCAATCCAGGCCCAGGCCAAATCATGGCCCAAACCATACAGATTTTGAGGACGTCCCAAGCAGAATCGACCAAACCAGGCTCCATCCACTCTATCCAAATCCAAATTAAAAGAGTGGATCACCCCAGGCCTCCCCCTGGCGCGAGCCCGTTTCGAATTTTATGGGGGGGGGCATTTGGACCACATGGCCGCTGACGCGGACGGGGTTGGGCGCGGAAGATTTCGTTTGTCTTTCGGTTGTTGTTGGGGCCTTGGTGTGGCGTAAAGAGACATGTTTACGACTCTGTAGTGGGCCCGCCGTACTCTCACGGGGCCATGTGAGCTCAAGGGCGCCCGAGAAGGGACGACCGCCTTCAAGTTTATGTCCTTGATGTCCTGCTGCGTGCGAGGGGGGTGCCGAAATGGGCGAGATAATGCCATGCGGCCGCGCCCACCAACGCCGTAGGTGAACCTCCCTCAGGAACCACGAGACGTGTGAGAAGCGCGCCGGCATGAGTGAGCGCGGCGGAGCTCAGCGGTCGCGCCCGCTGGGACGGTAGGCGGGTATGCCTAAGGGCCGATGGAGGCATAATGTGTGCGACGGGTGTGCCGAACTGGGCGCGGCGGTGCCATGCGAACGCGCCCATCGGGACCATGGTTGGAGCTCCCTGGAAAAGGCACGCACGCAACGGGTGAGGGCTGTTCCGAAACAGGCACGGCGGTGCTATGCTGTCGCGCCCGCTGAGACAATGGGTGGAAGTGTGTCCTCCTCTGGGGACACAGTCCCTGTGAAGGGTGCGCCGACATGGGCGCGGAAGCGACCTGTGGTCACGCCTACTGGGACCATAGGGGGCTCCCTATGGCGGCTATGAAACGTTCGGGCGGTGTGCCGAACTGACTCTGCGCGGCGGTGTCATACGGGCTCCCCCACCCCGACCAGGCCCGTAGGTGGAGCTCCCTGTGAGGCCACGAAGCGTGCGAGGGTGTGCCGAAATCCTCGCGGCGGTACCATATGGGCGCCCTCTTTCTCCAGAATGGAGCTCCCGATGGAGTCACAAAGCGTATGTGTTTGTGTGTGTGCGTGTCATTGAGTGATTGAGTATGCGTATTCGTGTGGCGAAATTCGGGCGTCGGCCAGGGCTGCAGGCGGAGCTCATCGTCGGACCGTGTGAGAAGGTGCTCCGAATTGACGTGCGGAGGAAGGGGAGGCCTCGAATAATGCCGGATTAGACGTGCAGAGAGCAGAGGTCGGGCGAGGAGGGCGGATGAGAAGGGGGAGGAGGCGCGAGGCGCTGCGGATCCAACACAAGAGCTCAACTCGGCAAGACGTTGGACCATACCACGTGCACGCTGCGGGATGATCCTGCGCACGAGCGGACACTCCGCGAGCTCTCTGCGCTGCCCCACTAGCCCCTGTCAGACGCCGACGCGTGCAACCTCACTGCGGGCGCATAGAATGTACATACACCGTGCTGACCACCCCGCCACCACTCTGCAGTGCTCCTAGGCAATGGCAATGGCGGTTGGGGCAGCGGCGTGTTGGAAATGTCCGCTGACACGTGCATCCTGGCAGCTCCCCCTGACGCCGCTGGAGCGCTGAGGACGATCCTGTCGGGCAATGTGGTCACAAAGTCGGTGGCGGCGAAGTGGGGGCGACCGCGAACATGCCCCCACTGCGGGGCTGCGACTGAAGACCTGGACCACAGGCTAGCGGCTGTGGGCGTGCCCATGATGGCAGGGCACCCGAGTTGCGGCCTTCGAGGCGGGAGTCTCCACCCAGGCAGGCTGCCGCCTTGGCCTGCCTGCCGGCCCGGGTGGTGCGCACGGCGCTTCTGCCTGAAGAAGCACACCTGGCGGCGCTGGCGGACGAGATCCAGCGGGCGCTCCCTGCCGCAGGGGCGCGTACACGAGCTTGGACCGACGCTTCGTGCCTGCACCCGGGCGGAACGCGGCTCGAGGGCCTCCCCCGGCGGGCGCCTTCAGAGCCATGGGCCTGCTGATGGCCGGCAGACAGCCCAGCGCGCCGAGCTTCGGGCAGCGGTGCACCCTGGCCAGGGCACCGCTGGACGTCGTCACCGACTCGCGGTTCGTCTCGCGAGGGGTGTTCACCCTGCGCGGCGGCGCGGGCCTGCTGGAGTGGCAACACGGTGACCTCTCGGAGGCGATCGCGCCTCATTGCCGCAGCGGGCTGCCTGGGCCCGATGGGTGAAGTCCGATTTGAGCAGAGCAGAGGCCGCGGAACGCAGCATTTCGGAGGCGGAATGGGCCGGGAACGCCGCGGTTAGATGACCTGGCCGACGCCGGCGCGCGGGCGCGGCTTCCCCCGCCGCCCGTCTGCCAGCAGCGCAAGCGGCAGCTGGAGACGCTCGCGGCGGTCCAGCGCGCGGCCGCCGCCGTGGAGTTGGCTGCCCTCAAGGCCAACCACGGCAACGCGGGGTTGGACAGCGCCTGGGCACCGCCACAGGCGGGCGCCGCGGGAAGGGGACGAAGCAACCGTCGCGGCCGCCGCAGCGCCGCCTCCTCGGGGGCAGCACGACAGGCAGCCTTGTGGTCCTGCGCCGGCAGCGCCGCCCCGTGCCGGGAGTGCCGCCTCGGCCAGGGCGCTCTTTGCGGGTAGCGCTTGGCGATCGCACGTGGCCTACCAGGGCCCAGCTTGGGTCGCGTGCCTGCGGTGCGGCTGCCGGGCCCCGCGCTGGCAGCGGCTCGCGAGCCGACCATGCACGGGCGGGGCGCCAGCACTGCCACCGCGCGCAGCCACACTGCTCTTGCTGCCCGCGGTGCTCGCTGGCGGCGGCGAGGCCGAGGGGCGCGCGGCTCTGCGGGCGCGCCCCGTGGCCTGGCCGGGGCCCCCGGGTTGAGCTGCGGGCGAATGCGGTGCATCTGCCCCCGGAGTCGCTCCGGGAGCGCAGCGCGTCGGGCGGCCGCGCGTGGCCCCCCTCCCCTTCCCCCCCCCCCCTGCTCTTCTCCCTGCCTCTCTGCCGCAGGGCTTCGCTGGATGGTGAGAGGTGCTGACGCGCGCACGGGCGCACCAGTCGCCGCATGGCGCACCCTGCGCGCGGCGCGCACTGGATGCGGCTGGAGCACGTGGAGCGGCTGGCGCAAGAGTCGCATCTGGCGCTGACACGCTTGGGCCACCGGGTCACCTGACGCACCTGGTCGGTGTGGCGCACCTCGCACGAGTGCCGCACCTCGCGCACCTGGCGTCTGTATTGCGATGACGTCCTCTGCTTCTGTTGAGTCCCTGGTGCTGCTTATGTGTGGTGGGAGGGAAGGTGGCAGTGAGCGAGACTGTTTGAGGGCCAGAGAGGCTAAAACAGAGGCCACACGATCTCCAACGCACTCCCTTGACGACAGCCCAAATCACTGAAACGCGCGAGTTCTAACAGGGGATATGTCTACCCCTATCCCAGGTTTCATGGGGCTTTCGATTGGGCCAGAACTTTGGGGCCCAACCCTGGGATATACGAGGGGGGGCGTTCAGCCTCGATAGCCCCCTGTGGGTATATCCCAGGGTTTCCCCCTTTCTCTGATGTTGCGAACTTGTTGGGAGGAACTCGGGAATTGGGGGAGGAAGAGTCGCCTGCGAAGTTCGTCTGTGCAAGCTTTTCGGTACAACATGGCCTCAAGAGTGCCCAAACGCGCCCCAAGAGTGGCCCGCGAACTTACCAAAAGGGCTCACCTGAGAGGGCTCCAAGAAAACCCAAAAGGGCCTCCTTAGGAAGCTTCCAGAGGAAGCCCGAGACGGGCCAAGAAGCTGCCAAGAGGGCCCCCAGAGGGACGCCCTAATCATGATCCCTTCCGTCCAAGCCTGCCAGTGCCCCCAGCAGTCGTACACATACCTAAATCGGCTCGGCGGAAACGGCGTAGGCCTGACGAACAGCTGCAGCTGGACGGCCTCCGACAATGTCGACGACCCCTCAGAGAGCCAGCCGTACCGCATGACCTGTGCCATCATCATTGCGAACATGCTCTGAATCAGGAGCAGGAGCAGCGTGGAGAACATGAGAGCCCCCAGACAGCCTTGTATGGCCGTTGTCATCAAGTGCAGCGGATCCAGGGAATTGATCTTCCGAACCAGCCGCACTAGCCTGATCGGGTGTTGTCAGAAGTGCTCCTGACCCGAGGTGCCCCCAGGATTTCCAAGGAGGCCCCCCACGGCCTCCAGAGCACCCACCACGAGGACTAGAAAGCCCCAGGGGCTCCAAAATTGATTGGAAAAACCGGGGGAACCTTGGGCCAGGGGCGGTGACGTTACGCAGCCCCCGACCTGAGGAGGCGAACCAAGCGGAACACCCTGAAGAACCGGGCCTTGGATACCGGCCCGTCACCGAGGCCAGCGACGAGCGACAAGTTGGATACGACCACGATCGCGAAATCCAGCCAGTCCCACGGGTTCGTCCAGAAAGGTTGCCGGAAGTGGGCCCCGGCGCCGAGCCGCGCGTTCCAGATGTCGTACGTGAATGTCAAGATCAGCTCAATGGTGAACATCACGGAGAGCACACAGTCGATGGCGAAGAAGGTCTCGCCTGCGTTTGGCCACCACTCGTCCATGTACTCGATCGAGCCGTACTTCTCGTAGATGCCGAGGCGATGGCCAAACTCTATACCCGCTGACTCCTCTTCCAGAATCATGGTGAGAGTATTCACCGTCACAACTGCCGCCCAAAATCCGCCACCGTGCCGCTGGGCGCGGCGTGGGCGTGTCCTCAGGCCCTGTCACTACCCCTCTCAGCCTCAGCCCTCACTCCTGAAGCGTCTGTAAAACGGTTCGGAGCCCCTCGGCCCAAATCTCTCGGGGCTGGTCGCGGCTCCACGGCTTCCCGACGCTCCCAGGCGGCCCCAGAGGCCCCCAAGACCGCCCCAAGACTGCCCAAGATGCCTCCAAGAGGGCCCCCAAACGGCCCAAGAGGGCCTCACGACAGCCCAAAACGCGCCCAAAACGGCCCAACACGGGTCCAAAAGGAGGAACACGAACCGAAAATCCGAGCCTTCCGCCCTAAGAGGCTCCCAGGAGGTCCCATGAAGCGCACAGGAGGCCCCAAGAGGCTGCCAAGAGGCCCCGAAGAGGCCCCCAAGAGGCCCGGAGGCCCAACAGAGGCCACAAAGAGGACCCCAGACGGCCCCCCAAAGGCGTCCAAACTGCCTCTGAAAGGCCCCCCGAGAAGTCTCCGGCGAGATACCAACGAACATCAAATAGGCTTCATACCCACAACCCAGGCACGGTGGCGGGATGGCCCGAAGGCCATTAGATACTTCGTATCGCGCGTTACCAACTATGCCCCGGAGGTAGCGGAACACCGGGGACGCATTCTCGACCAGCGTGTTGTCCGCTTCGAGGTCTGCGAGGTTCGTTGTACGAGACTTCGAGCGCAGCTCCCGCAGTACGAGCTGATCCTCTGCCCACTTGGGGACCTTCGGAGCCGTCCCCTCCGAAGGCGACTTGCTCGTCCCCTCCGAAGGCTTGCTCGGTGACTCTAACTCGGACTTCATCGAGGCCGCGATCTCCAGCGAATCAGGCCTCTTGCGCTCGGGGGCCGTGCAGGGGGCGCAGGAGTTCTCGGAGCCTCTCGACGCCGCGCCAAGATTTAGGCTGACTCGGGCGTTGCGTAATTGGGGAGGCGATACAGTCAACACTGATAGTAAGGATGATCGACTTCCCAAGGGTAACCTTGCATCCTTGCCTCTTCGGTCATCTTCGGTCCACCCTCAACCACTTTCGAAGACCAGCCCCGCTCGAAAAGCTTGGACATCGGCGTACAATGCCCTTGCATCCTCAGCGCACATCCTCACTAACAGTTTTGACTGTAATAAGTGGGTTTGGGGAGAGAGGAACGTGCACCTGTCGTACATCTTTGGGGCCCTTTTGGGGCACAACAGATGCACATTTCTTCAACAAATCAAGAGGTTGACCTCTCCTGGGTTGCGTTATGACCAGAAGTTCGAGGCGAATCCAGCGGTGGCGACGCGGGACTCCCAGGAGGCCCGAAAAGGCAAAAACGGGGGAAAGGGTCACGGTATCAGTACCACCTCCTCCTCCTCCTCCTCCTCCTCCTCCTCCTCCTCCTCCTCCTCTGAAGACTTCCCTGCGCGCGCCGGCCGCGGATTTCCCTGCGCGCGGGCGCCGCCCCGAGCGCGGCGCACCTCGGGACGCGGGTACATTGTCTCCCTCTTCCCCTGTCGGCTACAGGCTAGAGTGACCCTAGGCAAGAGTGACCACCTTCAGTGCGCGGCGAAGATGGGCCCTTTCGGGACGCCACCAAGCGCGCAAGCCGCTGCTGTCGTATCGCATTCGGCAATCGGGGTGCCCAATTGGGCCCGCACCGAAGGTCACTCAGGCGAAAGGTCACTTTTTTTCGTCTAGTCGAACTGATCGCCCCCCCATGACGCGACGCCCGGCTGTCGCTGGCGGGTTCTCCGCAGGGCTCCCGGCGATTCTCGAGCCCGCGGCTCAACTGCGCGCTGCTCGCGCGCAGGGGTGCGGCCAGCACCTGCAGGCCACCGCCCAACGCCGCGTGCTGCACCAGCTGCGCCAGGAGATCCAAGTGGGACCCGAGGGCGGCAACCGCACCTGCGGGCAATACTTCTGTCCACATCCACTGCAGCTTGGCGTTTCGGGCCCCCTTCCCCAGACAACCCGTGGCGCACGGAGATTGAACAAAGACCTGCCCCCTGGAGGCTCGATGTCTATCCATATCCAGTGCGCCTCGGCCTTGTGTGGCGCCCCTTCCAACACAGCCCAACACGCACAGGGTATGGAGGAGGAGGAGGAGAAGGAAGAGGAGGAGAGGAGGACGAGGGTGAGGAGGGGAAGGATGACGGAAAGGAGGAGGGGAAGAAGGAGGGGTTGTTGGGGACGGGCCTGAAGCCAGAACAAGCCTTCGAGTCTGACTCGACGTCGTTGCGCGAGGCTCGGAAGGAGGCGGCCCCTAGAGGTCTTTCTTATAAGACGGGAACCTACCCAGCCGAATCCTTCCCGGCTGGTCAGTAACTCCGCCTGTTGACGATTTAGGCCTGCACGGGCTTCTTGTTCCTGCATTGGGAGCCTCAGAGAAAAACGATCCACACCTACAGCAAAACTGGATCCTGCTTCTGGGGGTCCCGAGAGGTTCTAAAACTGGGCAGGCCAAAAACGCGTGGCCGTTCGCCGTAAAAACTTGTCGAGAGAAAGGCCGTCACTCCTCTCCCAAGTCCACCGAACCTCCACCCTCTCTTTGATCATCGGCCAGGGCCTGGCCTTCAGCAGCGTCCTCATGCTGGGGGTCCTGGAAGAGGAGGAGGACCAGTGTAAACCCATGAGTCATCAACGATGTTGGAATAAACCCTCCCTCCAAGCTCCCCCTTCGCAGGCCCTACAACGGTTCATTTCCATTGGGGGAACCGCGTCGTTAGAAGACAACCGTTTGAAGATCCAGAAGCGTGCCGAACAATTGCTCTCGGGACTTCAACGCCACATATCAACCTGACGGCTGCGTCTTGACGATCCGGGAGTGCGCCAGAACGACATGTTGGGACTTCAACACCGCGAATAAACATAACTGTTGCGCCCGCATAGCCCTGAATCCTTCTAACATGCCATATCTGGCACGTTGGTCATGGGAACCCATGAAATCCTTGCAAATGTTTGCAACGAATGTGCGCGGCGCTAATGTGAGAACCACATGATGAAAAGGGACGCCCTCAATCCGTGAAGCTCTTGCAAATGTTTAAAACGAATGTGCGCGGCGCTAAGGCGAGAACCACATTTGGAAAACGACCCACCCTCACTCCGTGAAACTCTTGCAATGTTTTACAAAGCGAATGCGCGCGGCGCTCAAGCGAGAACCACATTTTGAAAAGGAACCGCCCAGAATCCGTGAATCTCTTGTAGATGTTGAACGCGAATGTGCGCGGCGATAAGGCGAGAGCCATATTTTGAAAGCGGCCCGCCCTCCATCTGTAAAACTGCTGTCACTTTTAAAGTTCCAGAATCAGAAATGGTGAGGACGTCTCAGGCGAAACGCCCGGCCCGCCCCAAAAGCTGGCCCCGGGATGCGACAGGGAGGGATGATCTATGAGGAGAAGGAATGGAGGAGTGGGGGGGGAGCAGGGCGAGGATTGGCGATGGGCCCGTGAGATGGGCACAAATCTTGCCCGCAGCACCGTCCTCGCTGAGAGGGGTGGCGCCATGCGCCATGAGGCCGCGACGCGCCGCGCGGCCGTCTGTCGACGAGGGCGCCTCGGGGTTTCTGAGCGGCTGCGGAGCGACTGCAACAGCCGAGGGACGTGGAGGAGGAGTTTCCGAAGGCGGAGGCCACGAACCTACCTCAGCCTGGGGACGCCGATCGGGCGACCCCAGGCTGAGGTAGGGCATGTCCCCCTACAGGCGCAATTTCGGAAGGAAAATGGAAATATTCAATAGTTCCCCACCTAGGCTCTGCCTAGAAGGGTTCTTACTCTGTAACTTAAAAGGGTCGGGCAGTGGAAAACGCCCCGGGCGGTTCCCCCGGCATCCGCCCCGCGGTTCCCCCAGTTACGTCCCCTTAGCTTAGCGTTGCTTATCTCATCTCAACTGAGCTTATTTCATCTTAGCTTAATACAATCAAAGCAAAAGCAACAGCAAAAACAAAAGCAAAGGCAAAGGCAAGGCAATGCAAAACAAAAACAAAACCGTTGCGAAAGTGTAGATGTAGACGTGGATGTAGGTGTAGGTGTAGATGTAGGTGGAGATGTAGGTGTAGATGTAGATGTAGTTGTGAGTCTCGCTGTTGATGTTGATGTGGATGTAGATGCAGGTGTAGATGTTGATGTAGCTGTCGGTTTAGATGTAGATGTTGTTTTCGTAGATGCTCCAACTCCTAGGTAGGGTCGCACTGGAATAATTTTCAAATATATGCAAAACATCGTCCCCAGGCTATGTTTCAACTATATTTGAATATTCCCCCTGTAGAGGGATAGGCCCGATTTAACCCCAGGCGCATACAGTCGGCCCGTATCATAAGGGTGCGCGGAGAAGATGCAAGGGCCTCGGACGCCCATTTCGAAGCTCTTCGAGCGGGGCGCGGCCAACGAAGGTGGCCAGGGATAGACCGAGGAGGCAAGGACGCAAGGGGTACCCTTGGGAAGGCTGCCCATCCTTACTGTGCGGATTGACTCTGTGTCGCCGCACCGTTTGTTCTCGACGCGCCCAGGTGGACGACGCCGACACCACGGCAAACCCACGGCGAGCACCGCGCCTCGTGCCCCACCGCGCCCGAGATGGCGGTTGCCCTGGTGCCCGTGGCGCCCTCCCCAAGGCGCAAGGTCGCGCGTCGGAACAAACGGCGCGGCGATACATGGCTGTTTTTTTTGCACACTCTCGCACCGCGATCAAAAAAAGTGCACCAACAAAGTAGACCGAACGCTGCAGGAAGGCCAACGGACTCTCAAAACGTCAATCAGCTCGATATAGATCGGCTGTCATTGTCTTGAGGACCGGTTCTCAAGAGTAAGCAGGAAATGTCGGATGCTCACCCTTAGGGCGTCATCATAAAAGTGGTTGGTGACCTCCGGAAACAAGTGTGCCCAGACTTGCGCGGAACGCGGCTAGGCAGCCGTTCGAAACATCATGCATTTGCACGTGTTTAGACACACGATCTCCTTTCACATGAGCCTGCAAACTGTAATGCAGACACGGAAGTATGATGCACGATGTCATCCAGGATGTTGAAACAGGCGTTCAGAAACACGAGTTGCTGAAGACATTCGTGCGAGAGCGCAAGTAGAATATTGAATCAGTCGTGCTGAAGAACGAAAAATGAACTGCGATAGTGCCCGCTCCCAACTCATGTCGTGCTCGCAGGGCGCATCGCCAATGTTCAAGCAGACTGGCCGTCTGTCAGCATGCCAGGGATTCTGTACGGAGGACCCCCCCACGAGGCCCAAGAAGACAGCGGCAAATATAAAAAAAAAATTGCTAACGGAGTTCCCCACATAAAGATGTTACGGGGTTCCATTGCTTCTTGTCTGCGCTCTGGTGGGGCCTCCCTGGAGGGGTGGGAGGGGCACGAAACCTGATGAATAATATGGTGTGCGAATATGATACAGTATGGGATGGTGGAGGAAGCGGGAGGAGGAGGAGGAGGAGGAGGAGGAGGAGGAGGAGGAGGAGAGGATGTTCAGGGAAAACAAGAACCCCACTCGGGATGTGGGGGACAAAAAAGCCGAGAACTGCAGGGGCGAGCCTCCCCCACTTCACAATGCACACACGGTGGAACGCGCCTGCTAGAGGCAGAGGCGAACGAAGTAGACAATGCTCTCGGGGCCGCCGCTCAGCCCCTGGGCTGCCGCCGCCTCCGCTTGTGCCCGCGACGCGGCCTCCTCGTGCGGCGCAGGCTGCGCTGCCCCCGCGGGCGGGAGGCGCGGCGTCCACCTGCCAGGAGGCGCGCCCGCCCTCGGCCCCGGGGCGCCGCTGCCCCAGCTCCGCCGCGTGTCCCGGCGCCCCGCGCCTAGCTCGCCGGTACGCGCCGACGGCGGGGCGCTGACGGCCTCGCCCTCCGTGAAGAAGCGCGGGGCGGGCAACTCGGAGCCGCTGGGCGACGCCTCCGCATCCGGCTCCGACGGCGAGTGCGCCTCCGCCTCCAACGGGTGTGCGACGCCGAGTGCCTCGAGGGGCGCCACGAACGGCAGAACCTCCGGGTCCCGCACGCGTCGCGACCGCGCGCGCATCCACTGTGCCAGGTTCTCCGCCAGCCCCTGGGTCATCGAGACGAGCACGACCAGAGACGAGCCGCCGTCCATGAGGTGGCCGTCCAGCACCTCGGCGAACCTCTGTGCCGTCTCGGGGTCGACGAAATTGATGAAGGCGTGATGCTGAAAAAGATCAGGGGCTTCCTGACCAAGACGGCAGAGATTAGCTCCAGGAGCTTGCCCAGCGATGAACATCAGCCGGGTTACGTAGGATCCCACAGGCACCACAGTCGGCCAGGTGATCAGCACGCTCGTTCAGAAATTGCCCAGTGTGGCTCTCCACCTTCCTGAAGACAACATGACGAGCAACTTGATCATAGAGATGGCGAAGCCGCAAAACAAGCTGAAGATTCGCCCGCCCTCGGAGGTGCCGCTGCGCCACGCCAGCCGCGTACTCCGAGTCATACTCGATGACAAACGATGGTGAAGAAGGTGATGATGCAATGAAATCAACCACCCATGACAGAGAGAAAAATAACGCTGATAATTCACCAACATTGTTAGTATGACGTTGAGCACCGATGTAACCCGGTTGGTCGGGAACCAAGACGGAAGGGCCACAGAAATCCAATAAGCCGGTCGAAGCCGGCATGGCCACTGTGAAGCCCCAGCCAGAGGTCGTTTCCTCGTCGGACACCTGCGCGGAGCCGTCGCAGGAGAGCGTGATGATGTCCGGCGCCTGGAATGAACCAGGAGCAGGCTGAGGAGGCAGGTGGAGTCCTCGAGGTGCTCCTCCGCCTCCTCCTCCTCCAGGGCCCCGTCCTCCTGCATGGCGTTTGATACGACGAAGAGGAGGTAGAGCAGCACGGTATATATCCTCGGTTGGTTGCGCCCGGGGTTGATCCAGCTCCAGTAGGACTGGTTTGCCCGCGCGGTGGGCCGCCACGGCCAGAGTGGCAATAGCATTCACACGCAGAAGATAGTGTGAAACATATATAGCATTGTGAAGTGTGAGACCAGCAGGAAGGTCAGCTGGGATAAGCCCACAACGTGCAAGGCAAGGAGGAAGACCGGCAGGAAACTGGTTACCAGGAACTTGTTGATCAAGCCACGCACGAACGTCGCGATTGCAAGGACAATGCCAAAGACGATGTTCGGTAGTTTCCACTGCAGTGCCGCATCGTACACAGAATTCATCGCCCCCGTGGTAAGGGATGCGTGAAATATGAAGCCGTGTCCACAAACCTGCAGAGGTGAGGGCAGGCCCTCCGTAATGTAGTTGCGCAGCGTAAAGATGTTCACGGGCGTCGCGGTTCTCGGTGAGACCGTTGAACAGACCGCCGAAATCTTTGGGCCGCCGTTGTGCTTCGCTGCGCGCAAGGGCAAAACGAAGAAAATCACGTAGGTCATGAAGCCGTGCTTGCACCCGAACTCGTGCACAGAGGCCCGGATAAGCATCACGACCAGCATCGGCAAGATGTTCAGGCCGTATGGTAAATGCAAACTTGCGCGCACCAGCTTCGAAAGCGGTGGCGGAATACCAGTCGATCTGCAGTGTGGAACACGCACGAGATAGCAGCTTGAGGGGCCCGAAGCGTATCCGGCTACGTTGAGCCCATAGAAACTGCCACTCCGCTGGGTGAAGAATGCCTGCCAGGAGGACACGGTAGAATAACCGAACACTGGTGTAGATAGCCACGCACCCCAAGTGAGTCCTGTGACAACAAGGCCCAAGAAGATGTGTGAGCTCCCTTGAACGGCGCACGGTGCGACCTTCGGGTACATTGCCCATGAGGGCAAGTGCCGCCCAGGAACACGCTTGTCGAAGATCCCGGACGGTATACGCATAGCCTCCGTCACACCAGACAGCGGAAAGGGCATCTGCGACTGCCGCGCCTCGTTGAAAGTACGGCAGAATGCGGGCGACGTGTAGCCGGCTGCGGAGCTGCTGAACGCGGCGACCGGCCACTGGAGCAGAAGTCGGCTCGCCCAGCACCAAGTCGATGCCAAGATGCCGAAAACTCGTCCGAAGAGGTATAGCACGAAGACTTCTTTCAGAACATTGGGGGGCCCTGCGGCCCGCGGGAACGACGACGCCGCGAGCACACTTGGGTAAGTTGAGATCAGGTCCAATCGCCAGGTCGATTTGCTGGGTAGCCTCGAGCACGCGTGCCATCTGCTGCCGTGACGTGACCAGAACGAACCTGTCGTCAAGGTACGAGAAGTGCCTGGCCGACGGCACCGCCTGGGACACTGTCAGGTGCCACATGATGGACGTCAGGTTGCACAAGAAGCACGCCATCGGGCATCCCTGGGGAACGCCCACCAGGCCAGAGCCCTTGAGGAGGACATCAGTGGGCTGGTTGTCAACGAAGAGGATGCGCTCGAGCTTCTGGTAATTGCTGAGAACGTGGCCGCAAACTGGTAGCCCGAGATGCTCGGTGAGCCGCATCAAGTTCGTAAGATCCAATCGGTCATAACATTTTTCCAAATCCATGGAGAGAACATAAGCAGGTGGTACTCGACCCA